AAATATTGCCTACTGGCTCCACCCGACCTCTGGGGTAAGTACGAGAGGCGGAAGTAAACGTGAACGTGGTGAAGAAGGCAGACTTCGGTTCAGCCGTGAGCTCCATGAGCGTGAGTGAGAGCAGGGCTGCAGTTTCAGCCAAGGAGCTGCGCCAGGACGGACTCTTCCTGTATTAAGAATATATTTTTCCCTGAGGGTTGGGGTTTTTTTTTTGGCATGTGATACAGCTTTGACAGTAGTGGCTTTTAATTAAATCGTGTCGTCTTGCACTTTTTTTTTTAAAAGGAAAAACTGCAGTTTAATAGTTTCCATTATTGATTCCATTTAGAAGATGAGTTCATCTCCAATAGCATCTTTTAAATGCCTTACATTACAAAAGAGTCTTAAATCAGCGAAGTTTATTAACTAGCTTTGTTCCAGGAAAGATCAGGTTACTAGCCAGGCACATTCTGACATTTAATTTAGCAAGTATGTGTTGGTAATATTTAAAATTACCTAAAAGAACTGCAGCATGTTCCTGCTTCTGGCTTAGACCATCTTCTGTCCTTCAGGCCCAGATCCACCTCCTTGGGAATGTTGTCACCTGGGCTTCAGCTAACATTGCTGCTCTGGTCTACACGTGTCTGTCCCTGTGGTACTTGATCCGACGAAGGAGAAAGATTTACGACATTCCTGAAGGTCTGATTCCATTTTTCTGTGTGTGTGTGTGCACATGCACACATCTGTCTGTCTGTCTTGAGGTGGGGGGGTTGTCTCTTGTGCTGCCTCACTTTAACGGATCCAAAGCCACGGGGTTTTTTGTAGCTATGTGCTTGGCTATGCTAGCACTTTTTCCTGCCCCATAACCCTGCAATTTTCATTTGGGACACACAAACATCGAGAGTAACCCACGAAGAGACTGACTATGGTCATCACAGTGTGACCATCACCTCATGAGAAAATATAGTGGCCAGCATAATATTTGAGTCATTCCCTGGATGTAAGAAATGTCCAGCCATTAGATTTGGATTCTACTGAGCCCTTTTATGATGATTTTAAAGAGGTAGGTACTGGCTGTGTGGGGAGGGCTTTATTTTAGACGTGTTCGTTCCACAGAGGTACCATCTCCTCTGTGTGGTTGGGCAGTTTTACGCTGACCTTCCTGGCAGTACGTTTTTGTTGTCATGCTGCAAAGCTGCTTCATGTTGGCTGTAATCTGTCTGGATGGGTACTTCATAAAAGTGTGACAAAATTTAACCATTTCCCTCAGTTGAGTGTGGTCAAGGTAAAGGTCACGTTAGCACAAACTGTACCAAGTGGGGAAAAAACCCAAAGCATGCAAGTAGGCAACCTCTTAGAGACTTTAGGTTTCCAGGGACCATGCTTTGAGATATCTCCTGTCTCCTGCAGATGCGTGGCAGCTGTGGGTATCGGCCGGGGGGATCTGTGTTGGAGGCTGGGCTGTGAATTACCTGCCCTTCTTCCTGATGGAGAAAACACTTTTCCTGTACCACTACCTGCCTGCCCTCACATTCCAGATTCTCCTGATTCCCATCGTATTACAGCATCTCAGCAATCACCTCTGCAGGTATTTGGTTTTAATAGATAGATGAGAAGTGATGCAGTTCTTTTCTCCAAGGTTGTCACCTTGGCAAGCTGCTGCAGGGGAAGCAGTGGTTTTTCCAGCAGTGGCCATACTTTGGCATTTGCCTTTAGAGAAGACAGGCCAGATGTAGCTCTTCCTTTTGGATGAAGCGTTTGGCCAGCCTTGATGTAACTTGACTGCTCTTTCCCTCTCTCATCCCAGATCTCTGCTTCTCAAGAGCATGTTCAGTGCATTGATCGTAGCCTGGTTCTCTTCGGTTTACCTTGTCTACTGCACGTTCAGCCCCGTGACCTATGGGGAGCCCTCGCTCTCTGTTACTGAACTCAAGGACTTGCGCTGGAAGGACAGCTGGAACATCCTTATCCGAAAACAGTAACAATTACAGTCTTGTTACAGGCAAAAGGAAACGCCTTTTATGCAAAGCCAAGAATTTATTGTTAGTGTAAGTGAAATCTTAACAGTCTGATCAAATAACTGGTAGTAGTCCCGATCTAATTCTAACAGAAAAGGAAAATAAAAGAATACTGTTACAAAAAAAGGTCTCAACAGTTATCTGTTATGAGCACAATTCCCAATCTCTACCCCTGTTACATTCACCTTTCTACTGCCCCTCAGGGTCTGAAGGTTGCTGACTTCAGTCAACAGCATCCCAGGTCCTTTGCTGGGAAGAGCGTGCTGCAAGGCTTTCTTCCTTCTCTTTCCTGGGAGTATGATAGTGGTGGGTTCTTCCTTCTTGCACTACCTTGCACTTAAGGCTCTTTTGTATGTTCCCTAGCAGCTTGGTCTGCAATTCCATGTTACAACAAGTTACTATAAAGGGATACTCTCCAACATACCAGATACTTTTCTCTGTTTTCTTTGTTACTCCTAAAAGCTGGGTTTTCCCAGCTCCAAAGTTTACACATCTTTAACTATCAGTACTTGGCCCTGCAGTCTTCAGCATCAGCCCATGACTATATTCCTCAACAATGCATTATTTGCCCTCAACTTTCAATGCCCTGCTATCAATCATCCCTATTTCATTACATTACAGCATTAAGCAAAATCTATGAATAGTTCCTTCTGCATAGAATAGTGACTTATCTATCTACAGTCATTTGGCATAACCATCATTTTTATGAAGCTAAGCAAAAATAAAACAAATGGGACATTAAAAAAATTGCTGTTACAGCTAAACAAGCTAAAAGAAAGCTTCGGGCAGGCCAAGAAGTCAGCCAAAGCCGGCAGAATCCTTTGGCCTGCTACTAGCAATGGCAGTATTTTATTTACTGGGCTGCAGGGTTACACCTCAAATCTCATAGGAAGAGGAACTCTGAGCCAGATAGAACTGACTGTGCTGACAAAGAAACCTGCTCTAACTTGTACACATGGGTTCAGGGTAAAAACCCTGCAGGTAACCCAGCCCGTGCCCTGGCTTGTGTCAGCAGAGGAATTCACAGAGCAGGAGAAGCTGCACGTGAAGGACTGGGATCGCTCAGTGGGGAATTTGTAATATAACAAGGGTTATAGTACCTACGCTACAGTTGATTTTTGGTTTTTTTTTTTTCTCTTCACGTGGCTGCAGCAGCAGGATCTTGCAATACCGCTCAAAGCTGACTAAGAACAGCAGTCCTAGACAGACCAGCGTGGTTTTCACTTCTCTAACAAATACTATTTGAGGCTGCTTTTAGCTCACTGCCTCCCCCCCACCAGGGGAAGGGATGATCAAACAAACACCACAGTCATTCAAAGTAGGTTTTAGTGACTATTTTTGCTCCTACTTAAACAGCCCCAATAGCTAATGCTTCAGTGCAGTCGCTCATACTCTTTAAGTCTGTCACCCTGAGCTAACCAGCACCCAGCAGCAGTTAGGAAATGAACTACTTTCTCCTTGGTGTTACTGAGATGAACCACTGAACTGTGGTGATCACTGACAGGTAACAAACCTTTACCCATTTCCAGCATTGAAAAGACTATAGGGATGACAGTGCAGACTGCTTTTTTGTTTTTTAAGGGTGTGGGTTTTTTTTTTATTCCTCTAAAACTTCAGCCATTACAGAACTAAAGCTAACAGTTCTGAGTTAAGTAAGTGGAGGAAGAACTGTTGAGTACAAGAGCATCTCCAGAAGCGTTTCTGTACCTTTGTGCTGGTATAGTGCAAGTAGCACAAATACCTTTTATATAAAATGGTCATTTCTGCTCACTGTTTGTTCATTTGTTTATTAGCGAAAGAAAGACACCCACAACCAACACAGCCTGACCCTGGTTTTTAGAAAACTAGCAAATATGAAAAAGTTCCTCTTAATTATTTCCCCCAACCCCCATTCTTAAAATGACACTGTAAGTCCAGATTCAAGAAGGAGACCACAAGGACATTTTCAAAGGTCCAACCGGCACTTCATTTCAGAATTTTTTTTTTTTTTTTTTCCCCAAAAACTTCATGTTGCTGCAGTATCACTTATCTGGGGTAAGCTACAGAAACTGTGATCTCACTGGTTATACTTCCAGCCTCTTGTCTGCTCTTTTTAGAAAACCATTCTCGAGTTTAAACCGCCTAAGCGCTTTGACCCCGTTTGAGGGTAGAAGCATTCCCAGAGAGCCTTCTGTGCCCTCAGAAGGAGGGTCTTGCACTTCACAGCTTTCCCTCTTGCTGATCTTACCACCCAGCTCTGGAAGTGGATGGATTCCACCCAGCAGAATCTCCAACCATATAGAAATACCCTAAAAGACACTAATACTGATAGGGTCAGGTTTCCGTTTCCACGAGCAACCCAATCCAGCTGGAGCTCATACATTCAGTAACTGCAGTAAAGGAGCCTTATCTGGGTACAAAAAAAAAACCATACAGTGTAGCAAGCTTCAGGAGCTTAGACAGGAATAAATTAGGAACCAGAATCACCAACCTCTTGGGCCTGTTCCCCTGATGAACTGCGAGTTCCCAGATGGTCTCGGTTTTGTCTCTATCTCAGGGGAGAGATTCCTCTACAGGTCAGTCCTTCTGCCCCCACTACAGGCTAAAAAGGGGGCTGGCCAGCGGGAGAGCAGTGCCGGAACTCAAGGTCCCAACAAGGTGGAGAAAAGCAAGGACTGCACCTGCTTGTTAACAGGGTGTAAGCTAGTCGTGGATAAAGAGACTGTTTTTTTCTTTTGAAAAAACAGGCAGCTAATTTTCCCAAGAAGGAAGATGATCATCAGGGAAATGGGGTATCTTGCTAATCACCTGGTAGCACTTAATTTTTCAGGGGAGACTTCAGCAGTAGATCTCACTTTGAAAATTAAAAACAGGCAAGTAGCACTGCCTTTAACCAGTCCATCAAGAACATCGTAACTCCAGATGTTGTAGGGAGAAAAGGGAGGGGTTTTGGAGGGGAGAGGGGTGGGAGGCCAACTCCTTCCTCTCTCCTCTGCAAGAATTTTCCACCAGTATCCCCCTTGCTGCTAGGACAATTTAAAGGACACTTCACCAACCATTCTGTTGAAGTCCTTTCCCAAAATTGTCTTCAGTGTTGGTCTGGACCAGAGGCAAACCCTTCAGACGCCGTCAGGTTAGTGCGGACGGCTACTGGACTCCAGGTGGGAGCGTTTGCCGGCCACTAGCACGCTGCTGCTCTCCGCTTGTTCAGGGAACGGGCGCTTGTAGGTCCGACCGTGTCCGTTCATTGCCCCTCGCTGCCACTTGCAGATGTCTCCATTTAAGATGTCTTGAATGTGCTGCACTATGAGGTTTATAGCAACTGCAGAGAGAAACGGGAAATACAGGACACGAAGGCTTTCTTGGCTGAGCTATGTAGAAAATGTGGAGCACCCAGCCCTGTTCAGCTCACATTTTAACAAGCCCTTAAATGACGCTAAGCCTGCCCTCTGCAGCGAGGTCACACCTCGACAGAAACCAGCAATTGCAGCACCAGCTTTAACACTGGTGTCCTGCTCTACATCTCCAACCGCATGTCACTTTTTCCAGCCCTCTGCAGGCTGAGCAGCTGGTCATCCCGGTCAGGCTCTGAGCAGCTCCCTCCCCTTCAGCTCTCCAGCAAAACGCCTTTCCTTAGAAGCATGCAAACAAGGCGGTTTGCATGTCTTTGCTCTCTTTTTTTTGCTCTCATATTTTTGCTCTCTTCCCAACCCCAAAGAAATCAGGCAGAGAACTGAACCCCCTTTTACCCATGTTGTCAACTCCTCGGGGGATGATCACATCTGCATACTTCTTCGTCTGCAAAACAGCAACGGTGGTGGAGACCATTAATGGCAACAGTCAGCTTTATTCTAGGAAGAAGCTACCAAACACCAGAAAGCTGGGGGCAAAGATGGAGGGGTTTCTGTCCTCTGGGGCTGCAACTTAAAGCTCTCAGTCATGGTTAACACCTAAATGAATTGAGAAGTCATACTGGCTAATGTGCGCTGGATTTAAGGTCGAAATTGTTCTTACTGACCCTTTGCAGCAAATCACCAGGCAGAAGCAGCAGGTCAAGCGTGGAGTTTCACTTTTGCGCTTCTGAAGAGTACGCTGCCTTCAAATGGGTCTCCCGCTTTGAGGCCGAGGTCTGTTTGCTAAGAGCTGGTTCTAATCAGCATTTCACAAGCCATTGCTAAATCTCTGCCGAGAGCCAAGGTACCCAACGTGCATAAGAAATTCCTTCCTGCCTCTGATGACATTTTATTGATCTTTACCACCACAGAGCCCCTGCTTCCCCCCCGCCCCTACTTATAAGAAGGCTGGCAAATTCAGCATTTCTAATGAGTCCTTTTACAATCCCAGAATTGCTTTGATCCAGAGCAAGAGGTGCCTGACCTAGCCTTTTCTGTCTTATTTAATCCACGTACAGGATTTTGTTCTCAAATGGTTTTCTTGACAAATTAATTTGATTACACGAGCACCTAAATTGGCCTCGCATTACATGGCGTAGCAAGCAGACTCCATAAGGGTCTGCCCCAGGTTTTCACCAGCGTTCCCTGCTGAGAGAGAATCTGCTGGAAGCCAAGCTCTTCTTTCTTCCTTCTTTCTTTCTTAAGAATAAATGCAGAGTGGGAGTGTTTCAGTCAAAGGCACCCATGCTAAAATAGCCATGGCAGCAAGCAGTGAGAAAACATGCGCAGCCTAGAGGGATTTCCCTAGAGGGATTTCCATGGTGCTTTGCAAGCAGAAGGGACCAACCATTTAAGTTCCTTAAACAAGCAGCTTGCAACAGTTAAATAGTTAAGGCAGAGGGGAGAGCGTGGGACTCGCTTGTGAAATACAAATATCAAAAGCCACCACTGCTGCATCTACAACGCAGCTCACCCCGAGGCGACCCTGCTCCTTGTCTCCCCCCAAAAACCACAAATCAAATTAGCGAAACATTTAGTACCGGTAAGCAGAACTCCTCAAAGGCAGGCTTGACGAACGTGGTGTACTGGGTGAGGATCTGCTCAAGGTCTCTCCCACGTTTCATATCTCGCAGAACTGGGACAGGAAGATAAAACCTGTGAGTTTTACCGTGTGGCGGGGGACAGATAAGGAACACGAGCTGGCTGACGCTGCCCATGACGGCAGAGCATTACCCCTGCGGGACAGCCGGACGTCAGAATCCGTGTCGACAAAAAGCCGCAGATGGAACATGTCCCGAATGTCTTGACTGTAGAAAACCAGGATGCCCTCAAAGAGAACAACGTCAGCGGGATAGACCACCGTCGTCTCTGCCAACCTGCCAGGAAAAAACACCCGGAGCACGCTGATAAACGTGTCTCGCACCCCAGTCAAGCAGTCCGTCCCCAGGCCCAGCTGGGGCATCCATACACGCACCCCGAGACTTCACACAAAACCGAGGCCTACCTAGAATGGGTCACGAAGTCGTAGGTTGGTACCTCCACCGTTTTGCCCTCAACAATATTTTTCAGGGTTGTATGCATCAAGTCATTATCAAAAGCATCTGCAAGAGGAAGGTTTAAAGAGGAAGATCAGATGCTGCTATAGCCAGATTGCTCAGATTTTCTAGGCCCAAAGGGAAAACCCTCTATCCAGTATTACACCAGGAAAAAAGGAACTTACGGCTTATTCTTTCCTACCAGCTGCAATCCAACACTCCCTGCCCAAACTAGAATTGCTATACTTGGTTACAGAGATAGGAAGAGAGAATTTGCTATTTATAAGCAACTACAATACAGTGAAATGAAGAACCCAAATGTGAAGTTGGTAATTGTATAATTTGGCCAAACCGCTTGGCAATTGTGTAATTTTGTGCAACCTGTTAGCTACGAGTAATTTAGAAATTTAGAAAACCTCAGACATCTTTAATGCTCTTCATTATCCGCCCTGGTGAACCTACAGCAGGCTCTAGGCTTCAGCCAAGGGCCGATCACTGTCCCGTTTGCAACCCGCAGCGCTCCCCCGAGCGAGGGGAGCGGGTGTTTACGTGGACAAGAAATATCAGGGAAGGATTTGGGGGAACGATGTCGTTTATTACGGATCCTCTCAACAGCCGAGGACGAGGAGACGGAGCACCGGGGCGAGCCGGGATGCTCTCCAACCCTCCGGCATCGCTCTCTGCCGAGGCGCGCTAGAAGGGCGGTCACCGCCCGCTTTCGCGACAGCGACGCGTGGATGTTTTGGCAGGGGAAAGAGCGTTTCGGTTACCCAATGCTGCTCATTTTCTACCCGCCCTTTGGGCAAACCTCAACTGGTCTCCAACCACCAACTCAACCGCGTTAAATTAAAGATGGGGGCGGGGGGGAAAGGCTGCG